TAACTTGAAGCATAGTTGATCACTGATCATGGGGTATAATATAAGAAGAAATATAACATGGGCTAGGGTATAATATGAGGAGCATTTATTTGAACCATTTACCCCCTGGCTATTAGGGTATTGTGACTTTAATACATCATTAGCAGGTTAAAATTCATCATGGGCAAGTTAGAAAGAATGATTCATCATTTAGATTCGTCATTCGCAGGTTAGAATCCATCATTAGCAGGTTAAAATTCATCATAAGCAAGTTAGAAGGAATGATTCATCTTTAGATTCATCATTAGCAGGTTAGAATTCATCATTAGCAGGTTGGAATTCATCATTNGATTTAGGATTACAATCTTCAGATCTGTAAAATCTTTAAAATAATTAAAGATTTAATTTAATTTAATGAAGCTAATTAGGATCACAATTTCGTGACGATAATAGCGCGATTTTAACGAAGCAAATTAAGAAATCAATTTATTTATTATCCATTTGAAGCTCTGAGGCGTCAAGATTTATTAAACAAAAATTAATTGATATCATAAAATTATTGAAAATTATTTTAATAACTTCGATGGATTTCCACTGAGTCTTTGATGTCTCATCAGAAAAATTCTACACAAATAGAATTTTTTTTTCTCTCGTTAGGAGGCACGTGAAACTGCAGCAGTAATTTGTTAACGCAATAATATTCGCATATTTGCGAATAATGTTAACATATTTGCACAATATTATTCGCATATCTGCGTATTAATATTCATATATTTTCGAATAATATTCACATATTTTCGAATAATATTTTATAATATTCGCGAACGTAGCAGCGCATGTTGTTGGTCAAAGCCATTAGAAAGATAGCAGCGGCGGCGTGGTAGTTTGTGTCTAATAAACAATTTATTTCCTCAAAAATCTATGTAATATTTAATGAATTATATTATGTAAATACCACAAATGCTTTTTTCTAAACCGTTTATTTCCTACAAAATATATGTAATATCTTATTAATTAAATTTCTTATATACCACGAATGCTTTTTTCAGACCTGAAAGAATTATAATCAAAGAAATTCTTTGATTATGTATATATTATAATCTGCATGATTATACTATATATATCATAATAATATTATAATTATAATTAAAATTATATAATGTTATATATTCTGCCCATTATATTAGCATATCTGCGCTATAATATTCGCATATCTGCGCAATAATATTCGCATATCTGCTCTATAATATTCGCATATCTGCGCTATAATATTCGCATATCTGCGCTATAATATTCGCATATCTGCGCTATAATATTCGCATATTTACGCTATAATATTCGCATATCTACGCTATAATATTCGCATATATGCGCTATATTATTCGCATATCTGCTCTATAATATTCGCATATCTGCGCTATAATATTCGCATATCTGCGCCATAATATTCGCATATCTGCGCTATAATATTCGCATATCTGCGCTATAATATTCGCATATCTGCGCCATAATATTCGCATATCTGCGCTATAATATTCGCATATCTGCGTAATAATATTCGCATATTTGCGCTATAATATTCGCATATTTGCGCTATAATATTCACATATTTGCACAATGATATTCGCATATCTGCACAATATTATTCGCATATCTGCCCAATATTATCCGCATATCTGCACAATATTATTCGCATATTTGCCCAATATTATTCGCATATCTGCGCTATAATATTCGCATATTTGCACAATATTATTCGCATATCTGCGCCATAATATTCGCATATTTGCGAATAATGTTAACATATTTGCACAGTATTATTCGCATATTTACGAATAATGTTTTATAATATTCGCGAACGTAGCAGCGGTCAAAGCCATTAGAAAGATTGCAGCGGCGGCGTGGTAGTTTGTGTCTACTAAAACATTTATTTCTTACAAAATATATGTAATATCTTATGAAATAAATTATGTAAATACCACGAATGCTTTTTTTCTAAACCGTTTATTTCCTACAAAATCTATGTAGTATTTAATGAATTATATTATTTAAATACCGCGATACTTTTTTTTCTGACCTGAAAGAATTATAATCAAAGAAATTCTTTGATTATGTATATAATATAATCTGCATGATTATATTATGTATATATCATAATTATTTTATAGTTATAATTAAAATTATATAATGTTATATATTCTGCCCATTCATTTCCTACACAATCTATGTAATATCTAATGAAATAAATTACGTAAATACCACGAATAAGGCATCAATTGTGAACAATATTTGCTATGAGCATCTATATCAAACAATCTTTCCGCATCAATTGTTAACAATTCTTCCTATAGGCATCAATTGTGATCAATCTTTCATAAACACTTCAATTGTGAACAATCTTTCCGATGGGCATCAAATGTAAACAATCTTTCAGAACGACCAATATTGCTCCTATGGGTATACTCGGTTTGATTTAAAGTATATAATGCACACTCCTATACAAGCAGTAAATCCAGATACTTGAAAATCTTATAGATTTTGTGTGTAAAATTTATAAATTTCTCGAATTGAAAATCCAATTTTATGTGGGGCAGGTACCGATAGTACAGGTTTTATATTAAAATTAAATATTTATATTATATTTGAAAATTCTTATCCAGCATCGGATGTGACACGAGAGCCGCTTTGGATGTTGAAATAAAGTTGAACTATGTTCGTTCCAACGATGTTGGTTCATCAAAATCAACTTCCAACGAACGTTGTTCCAAAGTTATTTGTCTGGAAAGATTGGTTTGAGTAAAATCCAGATTTCCTAACTCCATCCTTCAAGTTTCGAATACGAAAAATTAATACGAAAACAGTAACGAGAATTGTACAGTAATTCATGGGGTATTATTCACCTCAATCCAGGAAGTATTAATCCCTTGATCCAGGGGGTTTTAATCCCATTAATCCGTTAGGTATTTCCCTTAATTAATTCATGAGGTATTAATCCCCTCAATCCATAAGGTATTAATCCCTTAATCCAGGAGGTAATAATCTCATTAATCCATGCGGTATTTCCATTATTAATCCATGAGGTAATAATCCCCTGAATCCATGAGGTAATAATCCCTTTAATCCATCAGATATATTCGACGTCAAATAATATACCGAGTTAAATATATCGCACATCAGATACACCTTAAATTTGTCCTGCCAATAACAGATTTAATTAATACTATGGGGTAACCATTTAATTTTTATATATCAAGAAAAGCTGCTACTGCTTTTCCAGCGCATAATCTCTTACAATAAAAGTCTTCATAAGTGACATGAAGCATGTAATTCAGATTTAATGTTCAGGGCCTATACTTTCAAAACTCGCTAAGTGAACGTAAGTACTTACGCTCTATTTACTTGTCTATGATTGGTGGATTTTGTTCTAAAGGTCCTCAATAATTGGCTGATGAACTTACGATCTCTTAACTTTTCTTGAAAGTGTAGGCCCTGATTCAGATAAAATAGATCCTGCGCCCCAAATACTGGGTAACCTCAGTAACTCATGTGATGCTATATAGGACGAATACTATGTTATGAATATGCAATACTATTGATAATAGAGTACAAACTAGCGTTATAAAGGGTGAAGTTCTAGTGAATAGTGATGTATCACAGAAAGGGTCACGCCGGGACTGCTAAGTGACGTTGCAATTCAACTCTAAAACTGTACATATGGATGCCTAGATCGGCCACTCTCACCTCTAGAACTGTACATATGGATGCCTAGGGATCCATGGATCTAGAACTGTACACATGGATGCCTAGATCGACCACTCTCACCTCTAGAACTGTACATATGGATGCCTAGATCGGCCACTCTCACCTCTAGAACTGTACATATGGATGCCTAGATCGGCCACTCTCAGAACTGTACACATGGATGCCTAGATCGACCACTCTCACCTCTAGAACTGTACATATGGATGCCTAGATCGGCCACTCTCACCTCTAGAACTGTACATATGGATGCCTAGATCGGCCACTCTCACCTCTAGAACTGTACATATGGAACTCTAGACCGGCCACTCTCATCTGTAGAACTGTACACATGGATGCCTAGACAGGCCACTCTCAGAAATAGAACTGTACATATGGAATCACCTCTAGAACTGTGCGCATGGGTGCCTAGTTCGGCCACTCTCATCTCTAGAACTTTACTAATGGAACTCTAGACCAGCCACTCTCATCTAGAAAACCGAACACATTGAATAATTATAGATCAGTCTCTTTCACTCATGAAATATCAATTAGCACTTATAAATTTTTCATTCTCCAGTTGTAACTGTAAGTCTACATAAAGGGGTTCAGTTATGGGTGAGTTGACACGGAGTTAAGTTAAGGGTAAGTTGCCGTGGGGTTCAGTTATAGGTGAGTTGACAAAGAGTTCAGTTAGGGGTGAGTTGACAAGGGGTTTAGTTAGGGGTGAGTCGAAAAGGGGTTAAGTTAGGAGTGAGTTGACGAGGGGTTAAGTTAGGAGTGAGTTGACAAGGGGTTCAGTTAGGGGTGAGTTGACAAGGGGTTCAGTTAGGGGTGAATTGACAAGGGGGTTCAGTTAAGGGTGAGTCAACAAGGGGTTAAGTTAGGAGTGAGTTGACGAGGGGTTACGTTAGGGGTGAGCTGATAAGGGGTTCAGTTAGGGGTGAATTGACAAGGGGTTCAGTTAGTGGTGAGTTGACAAGGGCTTCAGTTAGGGGTGAGTTGACATGGGCTTCAGTTAAGGGTGAGTTAACAAGGGGTTCAGTTAGGGGTGAGGTGACAAGGAGTTCAGTTAGGGGTGAGTTGACGAGGGGTTGAGTTGTGGGTGAATTGATCAGGGGTTCAGCTAGGGGTGAGTTGACAAGGAGTTCAGTTAGGGGTGAGTTGACAAGTGGTTCAGTTAGGGGTGAGTTGACAAGGGGTTCAGTTAGTGGTGAGTTGACAAGGGGTTGAGTTGGGGTGAATTGACCAGGGGTTCAGCTAGGGGTGAGTTGACAAGGGGTTCAGNCCAGAGCCACGTCCGACAACACGGCGCTCACGTACCCGCTGTACCAGCCCGCTGATGTACCATCTGTGCCTGCGGTACGCAAGGGTACTCTGTGACGTATAATGTAATAGAAGTACTAAATAAAGTAGTAGTTTATTGGTTTACTGTAGCGCTTCTGCCATTGAGCTGCTCGGTAAAAATCGATGCATTGAAGGTTAGCACATGAATATGCATGGAGAATTATTTCATACATAAATAGTAAGAACTATATTAATCTAAGCATGGTAGCGAATTTTTGAAAATGTCTACTAGTAACATAGATGAAGGCTGGCAACTATAAAGCTATTTTAAAAGTCATTCACTAACGTTGTAGGATTGCATGGGATGATCAAACGAGATGATATTTAATTAAGCGAGTTTTGATCCTTCGGTCACAGGGTATATTTAAGCGAGTTTTGATCCTTCGGTCACAGGGTATTTTTAAGCGAGTTTTGATCCTACGGTCCCAGGGTATATTTAAGCGGTTTTGATCCTACGTACGGTCCCACGGTATATTTAAGCGAGTTGTGATCCTTCGGTCCCAGGTTATATTTAAGCGAGTTTTGATCCTACGGTTACAGGGTATATTTAAGCGTATTTCTGTCTCTTATACACATCTAGATGTGTATAAGAGACAGACAATATGGTTATATTATATGCATATAGGTACATTATTACGCATTTCAGAACTACAGAAACATGTATGTCGTTATATGCCGTTAAATTATACCGTGAAATTTTGTTGAATGTAAAATACCGATTAGAATACAGACAAAATACTCAGATGTAATTAATAGATAAAATTCATTAGAATGGCATATGAAGCAATGTAATCTATAGATAAAATGCATTGGCAGAGCATATGAAGAAATGAAGTACGTATTCAGGTATCGGTTAAAGTAATTTCCTTCGGATATTGGTATCAGTAAATGATAGCAGTAAATTTTGACTACGATTGCATCATAAATAAGAACTATTTTAAGGAAGATAATCGTTCTTACGTTTCGAGAAATAAATAACAAATGAACTTTTTCAGCTAAAGCCACGTACCCAAAAAAGTAAATTACTGCTATGGCCTCAAGACAATTATATTTTTTGATTGAATATTTTTACTGAGAATGTACGTGAAGAATGAGAATGTACGTGAAGAATGAGAATGTACGTGAACTAGGAGAATGTACGTGAAGAAGTAACAGGTATATGTATAAAGAAGAAGTATTAGATTCTTAAGGTATGAAAATCTACGTGAAGAAGGAACAGGTGTGTAAAGAAGAAGTATTAGATACGTGAATTAGGAGAATGTACGTGAAGAAGGAACAGTTATGTAAAGAAGATGTGGCAGACACGTGAAGAAGGTACAGTTATGTAAAGAAAAAGTGGCAGACACATGAAGAATAAATAGGCATAAGATAGGCAAAGAATACATAGGTATTAGACACGCAAAAAATAGATAGGCATATAAAGAAGAAGTTTTAGAAACACAAAGAATAGATAGGTATATAAAGAAGAAGTTTTAGAAACACAAAGAATAGATAGGCATATAAAGAAGAAGTATTAGACACACAAATAATAGATAGTTATATAAAGAAGTATTATACACGCAAAGAATAGATAGTTATATAAAGAAGAAGTATTATACACGCAAAGAATAGATAGGTAGTTTTAGAATAGATAGGTAGTTTTAGACACTTGAAGAATACGTAGCACGTACCCGGCACGTATAGCAGACTGCGTGTGTCCAGCACTCTGTCCCGCATGGTCACGTCGCACTCCAGCAGAAGTTCCTCATGTACCAGAGCCACGTCCGACAACACGGCGCTCACGTACCCGCTGTACCAGCCCGCTGATGTACCATCTGTGCCTGCGGTACGCAAGGGTACTCTGTGACGTATAATGTAATAGAAGTACTAAATAAAGTAGTAGTTTATTGGTTTACTGTAGCGCTTCTGCCATTGAGCTGCTCGGTAAAAATCGATGCATTGAAGGTTAGCACATGAATATGCATGGAGAATTATTTCATACATAAATAGTAAGAACTATATTAATCTAAGCATGGTAGCGAATTTTTGAAAATGTCTACTAGTAACATAGATGAAGGCTGGCAACTATAAAGCTATTTTAAAAGTCATTCACTAACGTTGTAGGATTGCATGGGATGATCAAACGAGATGATATTTAATTAAGCGAGTTTTGATCCTTCGGTCACAGGGTATATTTAAGCGAGTTTTGATCCTTCGGTCACAGGGTATTTTTAAGCGAGTTTTGATCCTACGGTCCCAGGGTATATTTAAGCGGTTTTGATCCTACGTACGGTCCCACGGTATATTTAAGCGAGTTGTGATCCTTCGGTCCCAGGTTATATTTAAGCGAGTTTTGATCCTACGGTTACAGGGTATATTTAAGCGTATTTTGATCTTACGGTCCCAGGGTTTATTTAAGCGTGTTTTGATCTTACGGTTAAGATAGAAATGAAAGACGTAACGCACCTTCGTCGGCGTCAACATCGTCGAAACGGAAGTCTAAGACCCAGTCTCGCGACGTCTCGCTAACATCAGTCTTGGTCATGGATCTTTGTTGCGGTCTTTGGTCAAACGACAGCAGAGATTTTGGCGAACCTAAAGAATTTTGCCGTTCCGACGAAACTTCCAATTTCGACGAATCCCAAAGATTGCTTGACGTTTGTCGGGAAAACCGCGATAATCTCAAAGGGAAAATTCTCCCTGGGTTGCCCCGAGATTTCTGTTCATCAATTTCGGTGATGTTTATTAAAGCAGGAAAAATAGTTACAGTGTAATTAAATCGACTGTGATCCATCATTTCCAGCGCATCCAATGATAACAATTTTCGCATTTTCTCGGGGTTCCATTCTGAATGCTGCATAATTCCTGAGGGTGAATATCTTCTCTTTTCATGAATATCAAAACTTGAAAATTGTCCAACTTTCAGAGCCTGCCACGCTACATATTCTCCAGTTTCCGTATAGTTCCATTGAGTATTTTCGTTCGTTTTGGCGCCGTTTGGAAACGCGTTTTTCGCGTCAAGCGCTCCCCTTGGACTGGAAAACTCCCCTACCCCGAAAAGCTCAGAATTTTTATTTTTTTCCGCTGCCGGATTGTTCCGCGATCGACCGACTTTGGAGTTTCTGAGCGCTGTTCTCTTGGCTCGTTGGACGTGTTCTCTATAGCTGAGACTTCGGGGCTTGCGTTCTGCTAAAGTCCCATGAATTTTCTTCAATTTCCTCGGAGAAGACCTCAAGTGATGGATCCTGGATACACGTGGGACTTGAGAGTCCTTTCTTGAATGTCGTTCTTTTGAAGCAACAAATTCACTCGATTCTGCGACATGATTACGAGAAAAGGTTTCCGAGCTTCTCCTTAAATGTCTTCTCCTCGCTATTTTGTTGTTATTGTTGTCAATTTTATCAATTTTTATGTTACTTTCCTCATTTTGGTCGTGGCGGTCAGGCTGTTCGGTCTTCATGTTCATGTCATCAAGATCGAAACCTTGGTTATTTACATCATCATCGTTTCGAAATTTGTCGCCATTTTTGTCGTATGAAAATACTTCCGTCTCCAACCTTTTATCATCTGTCATAGACCGAAGCCTTCCTTTTTCAAATGGTTTCACCTCGGGTCTTCCGTTATCTTCAGGAGAAACTATTTTCAGTTTACTTTCATCTCTAAAACCCTTTATTTTGAAACTCATTTTGGCTGAAAGTACGCGGCCAGTTTCGTCTCTCAAAGCCTCGGGCTTAATTATTCTTTGGTTCTTCTTCTTATTGATGCCTTGTCCCCAAGCTTCCCACACGACCGAGTCCTCGCCTGGACCCACGTGGGGATTGGGGGGAGGAAAGTGATGCTCCACGTGCATCACGGAGTTGGGGATGCGGACCCTGAAAGAGGGTCCGGGGAAATTTTAAAAAAAGGGGAAATTTTTGGGTGAGTATAGATAAAAAAATATAACTCAGTACTCACTGCAGTGAGTGACAGAGAGCGCATTTTCTCGTCGACGAAAACATGAAGTCACGGACGGACAGACGGACGGACGGACGGACAGACGGACATGGCGAACACAATGGTGCATTTTTTCCATAAATGAGAAAATGCGCTAAAAAGTCATTGATTTTCACAGAGCTGAGAACCCCAGATCTATGATATTAAATAAATAGCCAGTATCTGAACAATGATGCCATTTCTGCAGTAAAATCGGAATATTTTGCCGGTCATTTACAACAATATGTTGATTTCATGTCAAATATTGAATATGATGTGTGCGCATTTCACAATATAGTTTTAAGATAGAATTTTATTAAGAGCCTCTATTAACAGACATCATAAATAGCAGACTTCTATCACTTTTGGACTGGAGAATTCAGAAGCAATTGTATCAATTTACTGAACAAATTCATGACGAAATTATCAGAATTAATATCGAACGGCAGAGGTGTTCAACTTAATTTCTGAACTTATTTGTCTCGCCAAAAAAGTTTTCTATACTAACTTTTGTGTCTGTGATCGAGTTTCAGGAATGCAATTAAAAACTTCCCACGTCTTCAAAGTGTAGAAGTTAAAAAAAAATTGTGAAAAAATTCTGCTTGAGTCACTTTGTCATCTAGGCATCATTGTTAAAAAAAGGTGAAGTATTTCAATATGACAGCTGGAAAACGGACTAAAAAGGTTGACAGCTTGTGACAGTTTATACTTCGTTGCAAGATGTGATGACGAAATGTATTTAAATTCCTTTTATTAAAGGCTTCTAACCGATTCCCGTCATGTTATAACCTGTTCCCGACATGTTATAACATGTCTCCGACATGTTATAACCTGTCCCCGACATGTTTTTACCTGCTTCCGACATGTTCTAACCTGTCCCCGGCATGTTCTAACCTGTTCCCGACATGTTCTTACCTATTCCCGACATGTTCTTTGAACAAGGGCTGAACAAGATTGGACAAGGGCTGTACAAGATTGCTGTTCCCGACATGTTCTAACCTGTTCCCGACATGTTCTTACCTATTCCCAGCATGTTCTAACCTGTTCCCAACATGTTCTTACCTATTCCCGACATGTTCTAACCTCTTCCCGACATGTTCTAACCTGTTCCCGACATGTTCTAACCTACCCCGACATGTTCTAACCTGTTCCCGACATGTTCTAACCTGTTCCCGACATGTTTTAACCTGTTCCCGACATGTTCTAACTTGTTCCCGACTTGTTCTAACCTGTTCCCGACATGTTCTTACCTATTCCCGACATGTTCTAACTTGTTCCCGACATGTTCTAGCTTGTTCCCGACATGTTCTTACCTGTTCCCGACATGTTCTAACCTGTTCCCGACATGTTCTTACCTCTTCCAGACACATTCTAACATGTCCCCAACATGTTCTAACCTGTTCCCGACATGTTCTAACCTAGTTGCGACATGTTCTAACCTGTTCCCGACATGTTCTAACCTGTTACCGACATGTTCTACCCTGTCCCCGACATGTTCTAACCTGTTCCTGTGTTTTAACTTGTTCCCGACATGTTCTAACCTTTTCCCGACATGTTCTAACCTGTTTCCGTGTTCCAACCTGTTCCCGACATGTTCTATCCTTTTCCCGACATGTTCTAACCTGTTCCCGACATGTTCTAACCTGTCCCTGACATGTTCTAACCTGTCCCGGACATGTTTTAACCTGTCCCCGACATGTTCTAACCTCCTGACATGGTCTAACCTCCTGACTTGTTCCAACCTGTCCCCGACATGTTCTAACCTGCCCCAACATGTTCTAACCTGTTCCCGACATGTTCTAACCTGTCCCCGACATGTTCTAACCTGTTCCCGACATGTTCCAACCTGTCCCCGACACGTTCTAACCTGTCCCCGACATGTTCTAACCTGTTTCGGACATGTTCTAACCTGTCCCTGACATGTTCTAACCTGTCCCCGATACGTTCTAACCTGTTCCCGACATGTTCTACCCTGTTCCCGACATGTTCTAACATTTTCCCGACATGTTCTAACCTGTTCTTGACATGTTCTACCATGTTCCCGACATGTTCTAACCTGTCCCCGACACGTTCTAACCTGTCCCCGACATGTTCTAACCTGTCTCCGACATGTTCTAACCTGTCCCCGACATGTTCTAACCTGTCTCCGACATGTTCTAACCTGTTCCCGACATGTTCTAACCTGTCCCCGACATGTTCTAACCTGTCCCCGACATGATCTAACCTGTCTCCGACATGTTCTAACCTGTTCCCGACATGATCTAACCTGTTCCCGACATGTTTTAACCTGCCCCGACATGTTCTAACCTGTCCTCGACATGTTCTAACCTGTCCTCGACATGTTCTAACCTGTCCCCGACATGTTCTAACCTGTCTCCGACATGTTCTAACCTGTTCCCGACATGTTATAACCTGCTCCCAACATGTTCTAACCTGTCGACATGTTCTAACCTGACCCCGACATGTTATAACCTGCTCCCAACATGTTCTAACCTGTCGACACGTTCTACCCTGTTCCCGACATGTTCTAACCTGCTCCCAACATGTTCTAACCTCCTGACATGGTCTAACCTGTTCCCGACATGTTCTAACCTGTCCCCGACATGTTCTAACCTGTCCCCGACATGGTCTAACCTGTCCCCGACATGTTCTAACCTGTTGGCGCCAGGCAGGCGGGCGTAGAGCGCCACGTCGTTCTAACCTGTTCCCGACATGTTCTAACCTGACCCAACGTGTTCTAACCTGTTCCCGACACATGTTCTAACCTGTTCCCGTGTTTTAACCTACCCCGACATGTTCTAACCTGTTCCCGTGTTTTAACCTACCCACACATGTTCTTACCTGTCCCCGACATGTTCTAACCTGTTCCCGACATGTTCTAACCTGTTCCCTACATGTTCTAACCTGGCCCCGACATGTTCTAACCTCCTGACATGGTCTAACCTGTTGGCGCCAGGCAGGCGGGCGTAGAGCGCCACGACGGGGCGGGGGTAGACCCCGTGGGCGGCGCAGGTCACGTTCACCTGGTGGGGGGCGACCTGCTGGTAGCTCAGCCGCATGTCCGACGGCGGCGCTGAGGGGGGGGGGACGGGAGACCTCAATGTTTACTGTTTTTGTCACTCGCGACAGACGAATTATGAGCAAATAATGCTATTCGTATGGAATTGAGATACGGCGGCGCTGAGGGGGGGGACGGGAGACCTCAATGTTTACTGTTTTTGTCACGCGCGACGGACGAATTATGAACAGACAATGCTATTCGTACGTAATTGAGATACGGCGGCGCTGAGGGAGGGCGGGAGATCTCAATGTTTACTGTTTTGTTACGCGCGACGGACGAATTATGAACAGACAATGCTATTCGTACGTAATTGAGAGACGGCGGCGCTGAAAGGGAGGGGCGGGAGACCTCAATGTTTACTGTTCTTGTCACGCGTGACGGACGAATTATGAACAGACAATGCTATTCGTATGGAATTGAGATGCTGTGGCCGTTTAATTATCATGCCTCAACGGCTGAGTTGTGAACAGCAATGTTATTCGTACGGAACCGAAAGGCAATTTTACGAGGTAGTTAATGCATCGTTAACCAATTGTGAACAAACAATGCTATTCGTATGGAATTGAGATTCTGTGGCCATTTAACTATCGTGCCTCGATATCTCAGTTATGAACGAGCAATGTTATTCGTACGGAACCAAAGAGCATTGCTTACAAGATAGTTAACGCAACGTTGAGCGAATTATGAACAAACAATGCTATTCGTACGGCACACAGAAGCTTTTCCCTTTTTACAGCCATGCTTTATTATCTAAATTATAAATAGTCAATGCTATTCGTACGNTAATTATAATACTATAATATATACAATAAAAATATAATATATAAGTAACAATGATGCTATAATCTAGAATAATGATAATATATAATATTTTTAATATGATAATGGCAATACTATACTATATAGTAATTATATATACTATATGTCTAGTAGGTGCTAAGTATGGTACTGGAAATAATGGTAAGGGGTGAGGGGTTACTGAATGGACACAATAATATAGTGTAGTCTATGTGCTACTGTGCTAGGTCATAGTAGGTGCTGACGGTACAGCTGTAGTGCTGCACTCACCGTACACTAACAGCTGTACCGTGCACCGCTTCTCGTCATAGTAGGTGCTCACGGTACAGGTGTAGTGCTGCACTCACCGTACACTAACAGCTGCAC